TCAATATAATCCTTTTGGATATAACTTTTAATTACAAAATACAAAATTTAGGTGATATAAATTTTGAAGACGATAAAAGACCAGTTAAAAAATCACATGGTTATAAAATGTTAAATATTTTTTATACACTAAAAAGATAAACAAAACAGATACCTGAAGATGTAGTATATGACCTTGATTTAAAAGTGTGTATATCCAACTTTAAATAGATAAAGAGCAATTGCATTAATCATTTGAAAGTAATCCCTTATATGTAAAAAGATGAATGCTTTTCATTCGAGGGACCCAGTTATTTTCAAGACGTTGTGAAAACTTCAACTCACAGAACAGCAAAAAAGATAAATCATATAGTTATTTATTTCGAATAAATACGCAGTGCAGTTAAGATTCAAAATATGTGAAATTTTTAAAGATAAGAAATACAATCCTATTTACGATGGACGATTCTTTTCAAAAAATTTATGGATATATAAAAATGTAATGTGCATCGAATCTAGAGGTTGAGGACAGTTAGAGTTCTTTATTTAGACTTGCCACGTAATGTCTGAGTTACAATATTTTAGCAATTATACTTGCAGTTAAGAAGTCATTTGAGCAGTCCTATATTGCAAGGGCATAACCAAGCTAAAAATCTTTTCAACACTATATGTAATTTGTGAAAAGTGCTGCAATATGTAAATGCCAATATTTAATGCTAAAATTTAATTTTTTTTTTTTTGCTGGTCAACTACATAAAATATAGCTATGATTATTTTTTGCGAGAAGGATATGGAGAGAACAAACAGTATTCAATCTCAAAGTCCTTAAATTAATACAAAATAAGATCAGAGCAAACACGGACCTCCGAAACATCAGAGATGGGATCAGGCGCCATGGAGAAGTGAGCATTCCCTTTTGACCTGTCACACCCGCTGTGTGCTCCTTTTCATGATCAGGAAATAACGGGAAAATCCGTCGTCAATTCAGTGTAAAAAAATGGACTAATAATTAGTTTGTAAAACGTCAGTAAGCATTTGACTCAGTGATAAATTCGTTTGCTGACAAGGTCATTGTTTCGACCATAGATTTTACGAAATGATGACTTTAAACGAGGCGGCAAGATTTCTTGTGTTTCGCAGCACTTTTCAAATATCTTAATACTTCTTGAATATATATGTAAAAATTTAGCAAGACACATTGAGGGTATACCTTTGAAATAAATCGATTTATTAGTGCCTTTCTATTATTCCTTAATAAATCTCACGATAATATAATTTGTCTGGAGAATATACAGACAGTATATAAATAAAATAGTAAAATAAGCATCCCATCCTTTTCTTCATAACTGCAAATAACATTTTTTGAATACCATAGATATTTTTCATTCTACAGTGTGTGTGAATTGATCAGCCACTTACTGTTGTACAAACTGCGTCGTTTTGCGAGATGACATCACATTGGGAAATGCATTGCGATCGATGAATTCTATATATTTTGTTATATGGAATTTAACAACCGACAAAACTGCATGTAATAGTAAGATTTTATGCAGTTTAGAGCTGTCCAGCAGGGTAAATTAGCAAATAATTTTATTATTTGGTATTTCGAAGACCTTATATGTTTGTGTGACGTCATAGTAAACAGTCCCCGTTTACATTAGGCTCTGCCTTCTTACTGCTATCTAAACTGTGCTGTGTAAAAAATACTTAAAAGAAATTTTAGATCAATCCGTTTATACCAGGTGAAAAAGAACGAAAAGGTTTTATATATTAATCTAATATAATACATGGAAAAAATAAACCTTAAAGCAGAAAAGAGCATTTTTGAAAATATAGAAAAAATAGCTGTATACCTATACAAAACAAAAAAAAAAATGTTTCTGCTTTGATAGTATAATTATCATGATAAACCTATATCAATAGGAAAACACATTGTACTGTATACAACGTTACCCAGTAGGCAACATATTAAGTTTACCAGGGGCACACAAATTTAAATTTTCATTTAAAGGGTCATGATTCTGCGTACAAAATAATACCATAATATGATAGATGTTAGAAATCTTACTGCAAATATGAATCATATTATCTTAGGTACAATTAGTTTACTATCAGAGGTAGATTTAGTAACATTTAGCAAAAATGTCAAATGAATGCTTAAACAACACAAATTATATAACTGTCAAGTATGAAATGATTTTTTGACACTGCTAACATTTTCTGCTACAAATGCAATTACAGAGTTGAAAATTGCTTCGATTTCCCCCACAACATCCATAAATAAACTCTGTAAGGTGTCCGTTCTAGTATCATAGTATCTTGGACCGTAGCTTCTACAACTACCCGGTAAACGTTCCTATCTGTAAACTACAGATTGAACTTACTAAACAGAAAAAAATCAATATTACGATTTTAAGGTTTTATTCGATGATGTGTATAGAGGGTATTGAGATAACAAATAGTTTTAAAGATATATCTATAAATCGATATAAAATAGGAGCAGAGCAAAGACGGACTTCCAAAACATCAGAGGTAGGATCGGGTGCCATGGAGTGATGAGCATCCCCTGCCGACTCGGGTCAATGTATGTTTTTTTTAAATAATAAAGCATGCGTGAAATTGAATTTAGGTAGATATATAAAAACTGCCTCTAATTAAATTGTATTCAAAACAAGTAAAATGATTCATTGCTCCAGTGTAATTTTAAGAGCTTTGGAATGAAGCAATACAGAAGTATGGATGATATCAGAACCGATAGGAGGACCAGAACAGGTTTGATTTATGAACGCCGGGTGCTATCAAAGATACAAGGAATTCATTGTAAAATGATAATAGAATTCTTACACTCGTCATTTTGGAAATGAAGATATAGTTTGTTGGGTACTAGTACAGTGTGTCTACATAAATATGCTCACATCTATTTATTGCTTATTGTAAATGTGGTTAATATCATTTTTGCATTAATGGCTTTTATGCATCATTACTCAAAAGCCATGATAATAATTATTGATTGAAAATTAAATACAAATTGCACGCTTTTCGATGGCGTTAGTATCAATTACTGACAAAATTATTTGTAATTTATTAGAAGCCGTCAACAAATGTTAGAACTGTGTTGAATCATCTCTTTACATGATTAGAGACCATGTGCATCATATGGTTATACTTTCTCAAGTTTAATTAAATAAAGTATCTTTAATTAAAATTTGTGTATAAGATGTCATTCAAGATTATAAATTTTAAACTGTTACACATAGCAATTTATATGCGTGAAAATTATAATTATTGAATTATTTAAGAGATGTAATCTGTTTTGTTTTTTTCAGATGGTTATTGCATCTGTGTTAATATCATTAACCTAAGATATAAAAGTAACCAAAATTTTAAACTGTTACACATAGCAATTTATATGCGTGAAAATTATAATTATTGAATTATTTAAGAGCTGTAATCTGTTTTGTTTTTTTTCAGATGGTTATTGCATCTGTGATAATATCATTAACCTAAGATATAAAAGTAACCAATTTAAAAATCAAACAATAAATATGCACGAACAGGGCTGAATCATGGATACATGTAATAAAAATTCTAGAGATGAAATCAAATTTACAGATTTTACAGACTTTAACAGAGTTGACGATATATAAAACATCACCTTAGTGTTGATATAGGAATGTGACCACAGGAATAAGAAAAGGTAACAGGGGGAGGAATGAAATAATTTTATGTATCATACGTGCACAGTTAAGCTGTTTATTGAAGATAATTTTGTACAGTCAGCTAAGCATCTCAATATATATATTAAAAGATGTAGCTTTCTCTATACAATCTCTTATTTTGAGTCCCCATGACTATAATTGTTTGCTTGGAAATTTGAATTTGGCAGAAGGCAGATGGACCAATCAACTTTGAAGCATACTCCCATCATAAATGTAATATATAGTAAAATTCTGTTAAATAACTGAAAAATCCAGAAATCGGCAATATCAAAGATGTTGAATTACGTGTTTGAAAAATATTTTGCATATTTCTGACGTTTTTGTCAACTCATTATTACATTAAAGACTCTGAAAATATGGTATTGCTCCTAAATACATTTCAATTTTCTGTCCAACAATTGCACTGTTATATTTTCCATTTTTAGCATGCAAGTAAGCAATACAATAATTTATTTTTGCTAGAAACATTATATTTTCAAAGCATCAAGGGTATGACTGATTAATGGCAAATAATGGATAATGAAATGTGGAGGCATCAATTGAGAAACAAATTAACTTGCATTGAGAGAAGAGTAAAGCTGCTGACGATTCGTAAAAGGAATGTGTCCTCCATTTTTGTTTGAAGAACCACCATGTCTACAGACCCATATATATAGGGCATGACATATTCTCTTGTCAGTGAAATCAGTCGACACCGTTGTAGACGGACGTATGCTATACAGCAATCGGTAGCGACAATAACAACGTATACTTCTAATGTAGGAAAGTAAAATACCAAAGAAACTTACAATTATAATTGTACAGGCCAGTGCAGTTTAAAAACAAACACTTACACGTAACTGCAATAAAATGTCAGCTAAGGTAATGCAATTAGCACCACGAACATGGGTCGCCATTCAAGGCCGATACCCGAGACAAAAAAGTCGTCAGTTGTGACGAATCTGAAAAGTATGCCTGGTGTTGACGTATAGTAGATAATGATGAAGGATATTTACGAGTCGTGTTCAGCTTTATTGCATATGTGCATTGTTACTTATATAATAAGGAATAACTAAATGAAGGGACTGTTTTTTTTAATTTTAAATTGCACTATGTTTCCTGTAAACTGATTATTTTCTTATTGAATTCGATCTTGATTTACATGATGAAAAATTGAAAATAATCAACACTATTCAATATCAAAGATAATAAAACAATAAATAAAATAGGATTATAGCATACAAGGATCTCCAAAACATCAGAGGTGGGATCAGGTGCCAAAGAGGAGTGAGCATCCCTTGGCGACCGGTCAAATCTGCCGTGTGCTCCTTGTTGTGATAGGAGAATAAGGGAAATAAAGATTATTGAAAGTTAAGACAGAGTTTTATTTTCCAAATTTCGCACCATATTTCAAGTGATTTGATTAGCCTCTATTATTGCAGCGGTCTGTGACATCTTCTCCTCTATAAATCCAAACAGACTCACAAGGACATACAGCTCTGTCAAAAAAGTAAAGTGTAAATATTTTGTAATATAATAAAATTGTATTCACATAGAATCAAAATAGTTGAGGTTAACATAATATCTCTAGGGTGAGTTTTGAACTTTCACATTGTGAATAAAATCTAAGAAATGTGTATTGATTTTAAAAAGAATAAGAAAAAGCTATAAACTTGTTAAGGAAACAAGTTTTTTTTACGTACTTACTTTAAAATCTCAAATATTTGTTGGGTCAAACTTTCGAGAATTGAGAATAAACTCTTTGTTCGTGGGGATTTCAATTCCTGGATGAAGAATTGTTCAGTAATTATGTAAGTAAAATTTTACATTTCGTGGTAGACATGAATTCGTGCGTCTCTTTATACATCGAAAACAACAACAAAAAAACCCCACGAACATATGTGATTTCACAGTATTCATTTTAAACAGAGTAAATTGTACTCACACACACGTAGCCTCGGGATATGCCGGGCAGGTTTGAATAGTACAGGCTCCAATGAGACAGGCTATTGCAGGACAGGCTACAAACAAACACGTTCATGTAAGGTGTCTTATACAAATTTTTATTATTGTAACGTGAAACGGTCACCCATCCAAGGGTTAACAGACTCGCCGTTATTTAACTTGCCTGAAATAGATGGAGACTCTACCGCATCACCAGAAGAGCTAGCTCACTAGGCAGTATAAGTTCCCTACATACTGTTCACTACATTATCAGCTCACTATCTCCTAGGGTTTTTGTTTTTCAAAAAGATAGTTACTCATTGTATATTTGATTTTAATTGAGCAGAATTAACAGGTTTATGGATTTAGATATATCTGGATTTTTTTAAGTCTCTAAAGCAAATTAAATATCCGATATCTTTTGTTGAATAATTGAATGGACACGACATAGATTATGCATATTTCCATATAGAAATCGATAAATAATTTCATACAGCTTCCTGAAACATAACTATAAAAATACAAAATATAAATTAAATAAACTCCTTTCTATCAAATTAATTTTCATCAATCAACCCATGCAGAATGGTCAAAACTAACATTATGAAAAGTTAATTCTTACGTCTAATCTTACAAACTCTATTACAGAGTTCTCTTGATTGAAAATTGTTAAGATTTCCTCCACAGCATCCATAGGTAAAGGAGCGACAGGTGCCCGTTCTGGTGTCGTAATAATACCGCGGGCAGGCACCTCTGCACAGACCAGGTTCCCTTGGTAAACTACAGATTGGATTGGCTTAATCGGCAAATGAAAAAAAAAAAGTATTATGTTCTTTCTGAAGACTCTATGTCAGACATTTTTTGCAGTAAATAGATATTCAGTTTTTAATTTCATATACATGTAACTATGTGAATTTAAAAGTCTTAAAAATAAGGTATATTTATAAAAGGGTAGAAAAATTATATAAAAGAGTTGGCTCTGTTTTATAGACTCAGTTGTCTTGAAATCATTTTTCTTTGAATAATATTCCAAAAACAAGAATATTTGTTTACTTTCTATGCGCATGCACACGATTACTAATTACCTGGAGGACGGGGACGATACCCTTGACAGTTGACTACAAACTAAAATTATTTGATGTTAGTCAGAAATATAAATTTGTTGAACGGTGATTCATTAGTAACTTTGATCTTGTTTATAAATGCTATTTATATCCCTACATCTCGATTGTGTTTGTTACAGATCTGCAATTGAAAGTTTGAAGTACACAAAATTATTAAATTTCAGGAGAAAAATTTTATTTTGCTAATATTTGCTTCCAGCTGTGGTCTTTATGCAAACTTATTTCTGCAAGCTTTTACAGATAACTTGAAAGAGATTAAGTGTTTAAAGGCATTGTTCTAGAAAAACAATTTCAAATATGTTTAACCGAAATTTGCAAAACAAGAAACACTTTTAAAAGAATTTGGTTAAACAGAACAGAAAAAAAAGAAAAGGTGTTGACATTTCGAAAGAAAAGTAAATTGATATATAAGAGAACTCGAAATTTTCTTTAAATAAATCTTGCCTCTTTGTGAATTTGTATCAGAAAAAAATAAGTATCCTTTCAGAAAGAAAAGAAGAATAAAAACCCTTTTCAAAGTTTATAAATTTGTCAGTTATTGATTGATTTCTACATTTTATAAATTTGTCAGTAATTGGTTGATATCAAAAGTTTATATTTGCCTGATATTGGTTGATTTTAGATTCGAAATTCTGCAAAATTGTTTTATTGTATATTGCTAATGGTCAAATTCATTCTGAGATAATATTTTGTACGTTTCGTTAATGCATTATATATGTTATATATACTTTAGGTAATTAAAGCCTCGATAGTTTTTGTTTTAAATAATTTTTTTTGAAATTTTTTGCATCTTTGTCATTATTTAAGTTATTAGTCAAACATTTTTAAAAAACAAAATTCAATTTTCGTCATTAAGGAATATAAGTGCTGTACATTAATGTAAAATAAGGAGATTTCCTGTAACCAGTAGAATATATGCCCTCACCTTACATAAAACATTTTCATCTTACATTTATTGACGACCACGTAATTTTATGATATGGTTAACAAAATAAATATTCTTTTTCATTTTATGAGTATAAATAAATTAATGTTATATAACTATACAGCATTTTCGAAAAACAAGGTGGGTGTTTACTCTGCATACGTTATTCATAGAAGTGTGGATTATCGAGAAATATAAATAAGGAATAGTGAATATTTAAGTGTTACTTCTCACTTATATTTTTGTTTTACTTTATGCATAAGGAAAGTCAAATCAAAAAAAAAAATATATATATAATATCAAATTAACACGTATCGTAGTACATATAGACACCTGAATAAAATGTGTAGAAATGTAAAGTTTCGACAGTTAATCACAAAAATACCTCAAACATATAGTTATATTAACAAATTATTGTAACAGATTTGATATATGTTAAAAAGTTTTTCAAAGTTCATAAATCCAGTATGCAAAACGGAAAATGTCCAAATCAAAAACATTTTGCCATGGAGGACTTAACATCTCCTTTACTCTACTATCTATCGGATTAAAAATGATATTCTTATTTTGTAGCCTTAAATAATCCACTGAAAACAGAACCTCTGATAATATACATCATTTTAACAAAATTCAAACAAACAAAAACTTACAACGATAATGCTCAGACACAAACCAAATAGAATCGCTTGCTTCATAGCCGTCTAATTTACCAGCTGTTCCGTATTGTATTAATATTCAAGCTTTATATACCGGTCAATTACATAGATCCTGGTGATTTTCACAGATGAGTTGTCGTAACAGAATTTTCCTATGATGATAATTAATAAAAGATTGGGAGTTTACTATTGTACCTTCAGGCTTTGAAACCAAAATTCAGAGTTAATTCTGAAATGTAATTTAAACTCATTTCTTTTTTGTATATGTATTTAAAATTATGTGAACTAAAAGATAAATACAATATACATAATTTAATTTGAAAAATTCAAATATTTCTGGTGTAAAGGATTTTTTTTTTTTTGGGGGGGGGTGCTTATGAAAGAGGAAACCTGTATCATTTGGATCTGACTTTGGAGTGGTCACTTGATTAAATCTTATAACGCTGTAATTTAAAGGATCCCTGATCATAATAGAAATGTCTTCAGATGTTTGTTTTTGATTTGTTTGGTTTTTTTTTTTTAAATTTTCTATTTCTTTTGGTAGCCTGTCTTTTATTATCGATAAAGATTCCCCATTTTCATAACCTTGATTCTGAACTTTGCAAGCTTTAACAAAAGAAGGCATAAAAGATAAGCTTAATGTTTCATCACTTTTAGTTTAATTATTTGTTTGACTTTTTTTAAAATAAATATAAGTAGAGAAAAGTGTCACAGATTGAATATAGTTATTTCATTTCCGAAATAAACAAATAAATAAAATAATAACACGTAGTAAGAACTTTTGCTATTCTCGTCTTTTCTGTAAAAGTTATTTAATAAAGGGATTCATAGGTCGTTTATTACTTTTTTTTTCAAATTTTAAAGCTATAGATCATTTTCGTATAAATGCAATGAGTAGTCAATTGGAATTTGACTTTATGGAACACAAAGAAAAAGATTTGAAGAAGGCTGGGTAGTCAAAAAACATATTAGTCTTCAGATATTACTTTTTAAGACATGCTATCCTAAGCTGTCGAATATCATTTGGCAAAGGACAATATCATACATTTTAGCTTCAAAATTTGATAGATTTTTTGGTACGTTTAAGTGAAGCTTTTCTTTTAAAGGAGATCGAAATAGTCTGAAAATGGCCGAAACCACCCAGCCCCCTTAAGCATCCCATTTAATTTAATTTCACAGCTACTTTTCATTGAACAGATGATTCCGACATTTTATCATTTATTGACAACATGTCGTATGTCGTATATACGTGATATGACATATATTCAACCTGTTTCATGATGAAATGATTCTGTCGTTCATACAGTTTTGAAATTTACGACACTCAATTTGCTTGCCTGGCTAGAAGGTAAGTTTAGTCAATTTTTCGTTATTATTGATATGTTATATACTGGTACAACTACTGCCTTAGGAAGAACTCCTCTTTAATTTTGTTTGATAATGTACAATATCATAAATGTAGTTCACAATGGGAAAGCTGTTAATATTATACATTTATTGCATGATAGTGAGAAAATATGAAGACTTATTCAGCCAAGAAAAATCATATTCCCCAACGACTTCGCCCGAGGGGAATATGATATTTCTTGGCTGAATAAGTCTTCATGTTTCCCGACAATTCATGCAATGAATTGTTTATTATACCGAAACAAGCAAAACCTTTGAAATAAACATAAACTTTCAAATTCGGCACCGCTCTCTAATTCACACCATAGTTAACGTAAAGTTACTATAAAACCCTTTGGTCAACACATTGTCATCAGTTTTGTGACGTAAACCAGGCTATTGTGACGTCTGCTTTTCTCGGGAGTTTTCATTCAACGAACGAGAACTATATTGCGGGTCGCCATTCAAGGCCGATACCTGTAACAATAAAGTTGACAGGTGTGGCGAATATAAAGAGTATACACTGGTGTTGATGTATCATAGATAATAATAGCAGACATGGCGTACCCTATATACGAATCGTTTTAAGCTTTAATGCATATGTGCGCTGTGACTTATATAATAAGGAATAACTATAAATGAAGGGACTGATTTTTTTTTAATTTCAAATTACACTATGTCCTATAAACTGATTATCTTCTATCATTATAATTCGATCTGATTTACACGATGAATAATTTGTAAATAACCAACAGTATTCAATATCAAAGATCAAGAAAGAATAAAAAACAGGAGCAGAGCAAACAAGGATCTCCAAAACATCAGAGGTGGGATCAGGTGCCAAAGAAGAGTAAGCATCCCCTGCTAACCGGTCAAATCCGCCGTGTGCTCCTTGGTGTGATCGGGGAATAACGGAAATAAAGATTATTGAAAGTTAAGACTGTGTTTTATTTTTCCAAATTTTGCGCCATATTTCAAGTGATTTGATTAGTCTCTATTATTGTAGCGGTCTGTGACGTCTTCTCCTCTATAAATCCAAAGAGACTCACAAGGACATAGAGCTCTGTCAAAAAAGTAAGGTGTAAATATTTTCTTTAATATAATGAAATTGTATTCACATAAAATGAAAATAATTGAGTTTAACATAATATCGCTAGGGTGAGTTTTGAACAACTGATTTCCTTCCACATTGTGGATAAAATATAAGAGATTTGTAATGATTTGAAAAAGAATAAGAAAAAGAACAAACCATGATCAGAAAAAAGTAATTTTTCGTACTTACTGTAACATCACAAATTTTCGTGGGGTCACATTTTCCTGATTTGAGTAAAAACTCTTTGTTCGTTGGGATTTCAATTCGTGGATGAAGAATTGTTCAGTAATTATGTAAGTAACATTTTACATTTCGTAGAAGACATGAATTCGTGGGTCTCTTCATACCTCGAAAACAACAACAACAACAACAAAAACCACGAGAATATGTGATTTCACAGTATTCATTTTAAAAAGAGTAAGAAGTACTCACTAACACGTGGCCTCGGGATACGCCGGGCAGGTTTGAACAGTACAGGCTCCAATGGGACAGGCGATTAACGGACAGGCTACAAACAAACACGTTCATGTAAGGTATCTTACGCTTATTTTTATAATTGTAACGTAAATCGGTCACCCATCCAAGGGTTAAACAGCCTTGCCGTTGCTTAACCAAACTTAACTTGCCTGAAATAGAGGGAGACTCTACCGCATCATTAGAAAAGCTAGCTCACGAGCGAGGCAGTATAAGTTCCCCAAAAGATAGTTAATTACTCATTGTATATTTCATTTTAATTGAGCAGAATTAACAAGTACGTGGATTTAGATATAACAGGATTTTTTAAGTCTATAAAGTAGATTAAAAATCCGATATCTTTTGTTGAAGATTTAATAGACAGGACATAGATTATGAATATTTCCATCTAGAAATCGATAAATAATTTCATACAGCTTCCTGAAACATAACTATAAAAAATGCAAAATAGAAAAAAAACCTCCTTTCAATCAAATTAATTTTCGTCAATATACTCTGGCAGAATTTTCAAAACGTACAATATGAAAAATAAATTCTTACGTCTAATCCTACAAACTCCATTACAGAGTTCTCTTGTTTGAAAATTGTTAAGATTTCCTCCACAGCATCCATATGTAAAGGAGCGACGGGTGCCCGTTCTGGTGTCGTAGTAATACCGTGGGCAGGAACCTTTGCACAGACCAGTCTCCCGTAATAAACTACAAACTGGATTGGCTAAATCGGCAAATAAATACAAAACAGTCTCATGTTATTACCTGTAGACTGTGTGTCAGACACTTTTACTCATTTAATAGATATTCAGTCGTTAATTTCATATATCTCTGTTAATTTAGAAGTCTTAAAAATAAAATTAGATATGTTTATAAAAGGTGTAGAAAAGTCCTTTGAAAGAGTTTAATTGAGTCTCAACTTTTTTTAAAATTCATATTTCTTAGAATACAATTACCAAAACAAGACTATTTGTTTACTTTTTTTAACGAATGCGCACTATTACTAACCTGGAGGTATCCTTGTCCGTTGACTACAGCCTAAAATTAAGTGATTTAAGGGGGGACCTATGTCCGAAAAGTCTTTGTGTGAAATTTTCAAAATTTTGATATTTCTTTCCTGACCACTTGCTCTTAATTTTTAGGTATTAAAAATAATACCTTTATATGCTTATTTTTACATAGGAGCACGTGCAAAAACAGTGTAAAATGCAAAAAATAGATTATTTTCAGACATTCCTGTTCTACACCAAATATGCGTTAAAAAGAACCAAAAATGTAAAATCACATTCGAAATCAACATGTATTCAATTTATATGACTTGTATCTTTAAAATGAAGGCAAATTCATAAAAATTTATTTCGCATTGAAAATTATAAAGGCGCACAAAGTAAGTATCACCCCGTTTTTCTTGTCGTATTTTTCACAATTCCGACATACATAACAGGTAATATCTTAAAAAGTCTTTGTGTGAAAATGTCGTAATTCATATTTTTTGAAAGAAACGACTCATCTCTTTATTTTAACAAAGAAAAAAATATACCTTTATGATAAAATAAACAAGAAATATGACATTTTCTTTTATTTTCGTACTCTTGTGTCATACATTTTGACCTTTCTGCACTAAAATAAAGGTAAGTAAGCTATGACAAACAACTGAAAATAAAACTATTTTGCGAAAAACGAGTATTTTATTTTGATTTAGAAACCATTCAAACAAATTAATTCTTTTTCTTCTTCATTCTTATCATCCCCCCCCCATTTCCCCGTCAACAACCAACACCTATTAGAACCTAGGAATGACTTTATCTAATAAATTCTACATGTACTACAAATCAGTAAGCAAATATACGTACAAGCACATTTCTGGATTCTTTCTTAGTTTTATCCAGAAAATATAATTAATGGTAAACATAAAATTAAACATACTTCCCTGATTTAAGCCCTTTCTTTGCTGAATTTTATGTTAAATCTTTCTGCACTTATATATCAGCATATCATCGAGGTATTTCTTCAAAACTTAAATTACTATGAATTATCTACCAAAGGAAGGGAATTCTAATAATAAACTCCATAAATCAAATAAAACTGTTATTAATCATGAATAAATTTTCTTTTTGTAAATTGTGTATGTTA